TAGCATAGCCGCTATTTATCTACATTTTTTTTAAATAAGGTAGTAGCTAGCGCCACCTTTCCTGCCCATATGTTAAGGCAGACCTTGCTACTGTAACACTGCGGCAAAGTAGCTAGCAAGAAAATTTAGACTATATCATCAATCAAGGCGTGCTAGTTGTATATTAGGCTTTCCGTACGGAGTGCAAATGCCTTTTAAGGCAGCGCTTGTAGTGCTTAAATCTCAGTACGCGGACCTAAGAAAGTTATACATATAGTCGTTGAGGTAAAAAAAAATTACCTGCTGATTATTACAATTTAACAGGGTTATAACGATAAATTCGTACATGTTAATATTAAAAACTTCCAGCAAAAAATATAATTTTCAATTAGTTTTTAAACTAAAGGGGACAAAGTAATATCAAAATTATTTAAATTTGTACATCATTGAATTATGAATATGTGGTGATACTAGTCTTTTAAACTGTGTCATAGAATTTACTCGAATATAAAGCACCGGCATTTCTGAGTGGTTTTGAACTGTACAATGTAATCCAAAATTATAGTGCAGCATTCCTGCTAACAGGTAAACATCACTAAACGTAAACCCTTTAGTGTGAAAATAAAAGCCGCTACGAGTTCAAGCACCATCATCCATAGCTCAATATGCTAGTGCTATTTCATCTAAATAAGTTAAGAGGTCAATAGTAATAGCCTTAACCCGTACCCCCTCAACTAAGGGATAAAATAGGTCGTACAATGTTAACATAATAGGGTAGCTACGAGTACTTACTTGCATGAAAGGGTGTTTTTTACCATATCGGGTAGAAACACTTAAAATGGGGTATCGTACACAGTAATGATTTAAATTTTGAAAGACAAATCAAGCATAGTCAAAACGTTTAACTGTTTGTGTAAAAATAAAATAAGGTGTAACTGAGGTGCGAGATAATGATAAGGAACCGTCCCCTAACATATGTCCAACAAGTTGAGAAATAACAGATTTAGGAAAAAAAATTAAACCTCGTACTGTTTTATTGTAGCTAATACCTATAGTCGAACCTCTATACGCTATACCATAGGGAACTAAGGCAGTACTTTTTGAACTTAAAAGTTTAACTGGAATTGCAGCTAACAAGTATGTACCGTCCAAATAATTAATATAAATCTGTTCTATATCCATTAAATATAATAAGTTAAATGAAGGAAAAAGCAATAGCCATTAAAACTAGAGATGGTGTAATAGTTCAAACTAATTCTAAAATTGTACCGTGAGTTAAATATTTATAGGCAATAGGATTGTTGCTAGAGCTATAGTAGTAGTTTAAAGAAAAAAGCACTCAAAATACTGATAAACTAATAACTATTAAAAAAAATCCGATTTTATTGTGTAGTTCAACAAGTCCTGAAAATACAGGTGAAGCACTATCTTGAAAACCCAATTGCCAAGGTTGAGCAGCATCGTTATGGATGCTATTAAAAATAAATTGTAACTTTTGCATTTTAAGATTTAGTTTAAATTATTGTCATTCTTTATTTTTTTATTACTAGGAGCCCTTGAAGAAGTAGCGCTGATTATTTGCTGCAACCCTCTTCTGCTGCGCGGCGCAAGACAGAGCAGTCTGCCCTTGCGCTCGTAGTAGCAAGGCGGAGCAGAGCTGCGCAGGAACACCACGCCGACAGTACGCAATCCAGAGCGGTGCTGGGCTGCTTGGCTCTGGGTGCTACGCCGGGTACCCCGCCCTGCGTAGCGCGTAGCGCAGAGCAGAAGAGGGGTGTACTGTTGTGGCGCGTTACTCCTCCTGCACTCGCTTTTTGGATCTGCACTGTGGCAGCATAACCTACGAATCAAGACAGAGACAGAAGCTAGGGTATGGCTTACATTATGCAGCCTTTCTATTATTTAATCCAAGATTTCATTATTTTATTAATAGTAATAACTACTAGTTTAGTCTTGTTTATTTTGTAGAAGCCCGCAACTTCAGTAAGTAGTGTTTTATACTCCTTTCTGGGCTCTGCAGTGACCGTCCTTTTGCTGGTACCGGTACCAGCGCAGCAGTTCCTGCGCTCTGCTTTACCAGGAGGCAGTGCAGCAGCGCTGCAGCGCTGCTGCGCAAGTAGAGTACGGGACTGTACTGTTGGGGTATTGCAAGTAATCCGCCCTTAAGGTGAGTAATGCCTAAATAAATATAGCCAGAGGCTGGTAGCAGTAAAGCTACTTACCGAAGGAGAGGTAATTAACGCTTGGTGAATAATCACAGTTTTAATAAATATGAGAAAATTGATTGCAATAATTAAAGTCTGTAACAAATAACTGTTAGCAAAAAATTGTATCTGTTAAAATTAAAAAGCGCCTAAATATTTATCTTATAAAATTATTAGCTTCTGACTTGACCTTGGTTTAATGAAACTAACATAAAGGTCATGGTTCTTGCCTGCCTCCCTTCCGTCTTAACTCTTTAGCTGTCAAGGAAGAACGGTGCCGTGCCTTGCTTCCTTCGCTCCTGCGCCGGCGCGGAATACCAGTTGAAGCAGAGCCTGAACATTTTGATTTGTAACGTAGTGGAACCCCTCTACGACTATGCACAGCGTAGGTAAACCGAAGGTCAATAAAGTTGCATAGTAGTGCCGGCTTTGCCTTCCGAAGGACCGCCAGCGCTGCTACTCTGCGGAGCCCTACTACGAAGCAGAGCGGCAAAGACGGACGTATTTGATGAAGTGCCATAGAGCGAGGTGGTTGAGTACGAGCAAGTTACTCTATCTTGAGCTGATTGTTTGATAATACAATTCTCTGCTGGCCGTAGGATATTAGGGTACTGCTGCGCAACCGTTAGAAGGCAGAGCACAGCAGGACGCGGCGCAGTCCTGCTGCCCCGCTACTTTAAGAATGAACTGGTCTGCTCGTACTGTTGTTGGAACCCTGCAACGTGCTCACGAAGCGTCGGCTATACCGGCAATAGTTGTAATCGTAGTGCTGCAACCTCGTGTCCTGCCTGCTGCAGGCTACGGTGCCCTAGCATCCTACGGCCAGTAGAGTGCAGAGCCAAGCAAAGCAAGGGATGGAGCTAGGGACTACTCGCTTGTAGTCGTAGTGTTGCGCTGGTACCCTACTGCTGCAGAGCTGCAGAGCAGCCTTTTTGTTACTAACAAACTATTAGGGTAGTGACAACGTAAAACATAATTAATTAAAGTTTAACAGTTAAACTAACTAGTAGTACGTAGAGTTCTACCCCACAACAGTCTACTAAAAAAAAACAATCTATCTTTAATTTAATTTGTATAGTATTGCAGCTAATGCTACACTGTACTTAAATTAAAGTAGATATTATAATTCTAATTTCTTTATAAAATATTACGGGCAATGTTGGATTCGAACCAACGATTAATTAAAATACTCGTTTTCAAGACGAGCGCTATAAACCACTCTGCCAATTGCCCTTTTATTGATATCTTTTTCTCTCTCGCTCTCTTCTGCTGCGCAGCGCAAGGCAGAGCAGAAGTACGTCCCTCTGCAGCGAACTCTTGCCTACTTTTTGCGTAGCACTACAAGAGCGTAACCTTGCGCTCTACTGCTTTTGCTTCGCCAGCAGCAGCAACGCCGGCAGTGGTACCAGCGCAGCAATACAGAACCATGTTACTTTTAGTGGTATACCTCCCTTTGTATACTTTGTATATCTTTGTATAGCTATGTTAACCTTTGTATAGTAAGTTTACACACTAGTTTTTTGTTTATAATTTTACGCTTGACTGTTTTAGTAGAGCTTTTAACTCTGCTACGCACTAGAGAACAGCTGATTTGACGCAGGAAAGAACCCCAATAAAGAGTGGTGTGGCTCCTGCTACGCTCTGCCCTACGAGAGCAGTGCTCCGCCAGCAGGGCTACCAGCGGAAGGCAGAGCAGAAAGCGGGAGGGCTAGCTAACGCACCGCAGCAGTTCCATACGCGCATTATACCAGGGGTCTACCCTAAAGAATGGAGTGCGGAGCACTGCGCAAGGCAGAGCAGTGCTGGGTACTCGCAGCGTAGCATTCAAACCCAGCGTAGGGTTGTAGCCAAGCAGAGCTTAACGTAGCCAATTACCGTAAACCTATCGGAACACAAATTCCCGGCCAGTTCCTCTTTTATATATCAGTACGTGGCCTACGAATCGAGGGTAGGTTAGAGTCCGTAAGACTAAAGTTTTAAGCCTAAGGGGTGTAAGTTAAGGTATTACAATCCGAAGGAGCGTAGCATTACTGGCAGAAGGAACCCTGCAATAAGTGGTAGCATTAACCAACTACCAGTATCAATTTACTTTCTTTAGCTGTGCGAAGTATGGCTAACCTGCAATATTACAGGGGCTGCTACTTATTAATCCTTCCTTTGCACCGCTCTGCGTAGCAGTAGAGCGCAGGACAGCGCTGCAGAGCAAAGTAGTGCTTATACTTGTGCAATCCTCCTGGCCCTTGTCTTGCTGCACCAGCAGTAAACCCGGGGCAGGGTACGCACCGTGACTGGTACTGCAGCGCAAGACGAAGGTGGCTGTGCAAACGGGCAGGGTTGGGAACCGGTAATGCAGGATACCCTAGAGAGCATAGGGTGCGCAAGCGAGTCCTTAGTGAGGGATGGTAAAAGGTGTGTACAGGCAGTAAATGTTGAGGGTGCGGAGCGGAGCCACAGTTAAGTAGGGCCTCCTGCTATGCTGCGCTGCTGCTGCCTCGCCACCCTATCCAGCTCACATTGAGGCCAACACATTTGGAAGATCTCTAACTGGCTAGCAGCCCTTCGTCCTACGGCCTCGCTTTGCTACTCTCTCGCTTGCGCATGGCTTCGATTCCACCCACCAAAGGGACGGCAGCAGGGCTGGTGGTGTTCGTAGTAGCGAACGCCAGAAGCTCGGTAGCTACCGGCGTTCGGAATGAAGCAGTAGAGCACCCTGTGATTAGGTATAGGGGCTAATATATACTGCAATTCCGCTGCAGCACAACACCAACTTAACGCTACTTAAATAAAATATGCAATGCTATTACTAAAAAAAGTTAATAAGACCTAAGAGGGTTGAACTCTTATTGTATCCATTATGAGCGAACTGCATTACCTTTATGCTAAAGTCTTTAAGTACAATTTAAATTAAATTAATCCAAATACACAAATTAGTATGCTGCCCTTACTTTGACGATTGCTCTTAATAAACCGGGGTGCAGCGCTTTCTGCGTAGTACTACGAGAGTGTAGCAGTGTACTACTCTTGTAGCCGTAGCCGTAGCCTTGCGCTCACGTACGTGGATGCGGAGTTCTACTGCTGCAGAGCAGCCTAACGAGAAGCAGCAAAAGAAGTACCCCCTACTCTTCTATGCATTCTTTGCAAGCGATGTAGAGCGCTCTACTGCGAAGCAGAGCAGTAAAGCAGCTGTCACGTTCCCTGCGCAAGGGGCCTACTTGCGTACCAGGGCAGAGTTGGTTACATCAACACTCCGGCTAGCACAGCTCCCTGCTGATGCTGTAACCAACCCGGATCCACAATGCCGGGAATGTTACCCTAGGACAGGAAGGGAATGTTGCCTGGTCTAACCGGGGTCCTGCTGCGCGTCCCTCTGTTCTGCCTTGCGCAGGAGCCAAAAGAAGGAGTGCTACCCAGCCTTGCGAAGCTGCGTAGCAAGGATACAAGCGAGGAAGGGCAGCAACCCTTAAGGCTGGCAAGTTGGTGTAACAAGAGTAGGCTGGAAGCGAGCCCAGCAACCTGGACCTACCATACAGGGCCTACAAACCTTCTAGTTACAACCCTGTTACCCGCGCGTCCTTCGCTTGCTGCTGCGCCAAGGTAGAGGGAGGGATTACTACGCAAGTGGGAATTCAGTGCAGAGCCAACTCTACCTACATTAGCAAACCCGGATGAGTACAACCAAGGAAGAGCAGACAATATGAATCAGGGACTACCCTCGCATTATTCTGCTACGCAGCGCAGGAAATTATCACTACTTTTCAACCCTTCCTCCTAACCTAATACAGATACCTTGACTGCTGGACTCTGCACTGCTTAATAATCCTTCCCCTTCTTTTGTTTCGGTGCGATAACCTGGGGGTACTGGGTCAATATCAATTGCTTACGCAGCAGCAAGAGGTGATAAGGTCTGGGTTGAAGGGCAGTTAACTTGGGTCTATTACCAGAGTAGGTAAGCGTTGATATGTTGCACTGATGTGTTATACTTCGATACGTAGCCTCAGTTTAACTGAAGATGTGTAAAGCAGCGCAGAGCAAAAAAGGGAAGGGTGCCGGCAACAACCGAAGTGAAGCGTGAACCTCCAACACCGAACTGCGAAGCACTACTGTGGCTTTACCTCTTTATGTTTTGGTGGCGGGGCAATTGGCGCAGCACTACTACTTATTAATCCTGACACCGAAGTTAGCACTATGGTGCAGAGCAGAAGGAGACCTCAACGAAGTGCAGAGAAAAGATACCGCAGGTCAGCCTTAACGAACTAAAGGATCACAGTCTGAGGTTAGTATGTTTATTTTGGGCCTAGACTACTTGCAATTTAAGATAGCCAAACTTTCTTACTTTAATAGTGTTGTTAAAGTCACTTGCTGTATATGTATTATGGCTACTGCTATTACTTTTTAATTTTCTCTCTATACGAGTGCAGAGCACTGAGGACTAAAGCACTACCCCAAACTATCTTCCCTACTCAGAAGCAGGATTAATTAGCAGCAGTGCAGAACCCTGGTGAGGGCTACCCCTGCGGGTAGCCAGCACTGCGGAAGAATCAGAGAAGAGAAGGAGCAGGGCTACCAATGCGCTGCGCAGCGCTGCCACTAAAGGATCGCAGCAAAGCAACCGTTGTAGAATGGAGCCTTGTAAAGAAGCAGGAAGCCGAAGCTGGGCAGCCAAAACCGGGGAGAAGCTGAAGCAACGCTTACAAGTATTACAAATATTACAAGTATTACAATTATTACTAATATTACAATTATTACAAGTATTACTATTATTACAAGTATTACAAGTATTACAAGAAGCTGTTGAAAGTTACGTAAATACAGAGTAACGCTTTTCCACTTAGTCTATATGAAAGCCAAGGAATATTAATAGCGGCAGTGGTGGTACCACTGCTGCACCGGGATTGCTTCTGGCGCAGGCATGCTGCTGGTACCACTACTTCGCCTTCCACATGCTTCCCTTTCTGCAGCGCAGGCGAAGTGGAGCAAGCAAGAGTTGGTTGGAGCCGGGCGAAGCAACAAAGGGACGGACACCGCCACCATACAGACATACTGACTACGATTATTTATATATTTGAGCAGTGTTAGAATCGAACTAACTGTGGTATAATACCAGCTGTTTTACAGACAACCACCTTTACCAATCGGATCACCTGCCCCTAATTATTTATTGTAACCGACTACCTCCATTTTAGGGGTAAATTGTACCATCGGAACTTGCCTATCTTAACTTTACTCACACCTTTAGGCTTACGGCCACGTACGTGACCGCTGTTTTGCTGCTGCCGGTCCATGCTTCTGCCGGCAACTCTTGCGGTAGGAATAAGCAGTGCAGAGCCAAAAAGTAAGAGTATGGTCTGCTGCTTAAGAACCCTTCCTGCGGTAATAGTACCAGAAGAAGTGCTGCGTCCTGCGGAAGCAACCCTCTTCTTTTACCGCATGACTACTGCTGTTTGCGCATTGGTTGCTATGCTTGGCTTCTACGACGCAGCCTCGCCACACCTACTGCTGCTTAATAGCCCAAGCACACCTTTTACGACTACTGCACTACGACTACGAGCGCCAGGCAAAAATAAAAAGCAGGAAAGGAGAGCAGCAGGGACAAGTTAGACACTCTTACCTTAACCACAAGCCCAACCCTGTTTGGTACCTGCCGAACCTTAAGGTGGGCTGCGGTGCCGGGCACTGCAGTCCTCGCACAGCTCTCTCCTTCGGCTTCTGCTACGCTCTACGAGAGCAATTGTCGCAGCAAAGAAGCCATACAAACTTACCAGCAAGAGCGGTAGGGCTACACTAGCACTCTTATATGGTAATATGATGTTGTACTACGGATTTTTAAATAAGAATAGCCTTGCGCTCGTAGACGTAGTGCTGCAACCTGCCCTACTCCACCAGGCAGCAAAGCCGGAAACAGAGGGTGGGTTTAATTTATAATAAAATATTACGCTCAGAGCCAAGCTGTTTATTGATCTGTTTGCTTTTTTAAATATTAAGCCTTGCTTAGTTAAGCCACAATTACAATTAAATACAAAACTAAACTAAATAGACTTACAAGACCTCCACTAAACTAGTTGTGCTTGCTTGGTTCTGCTTTCTGCTGGCCGTAGGATGCTAGGGCACCGCAGCCAAACATCTTTTTACTCGGTTGACCATACCTGATTGTTCAGTTGGTGTCCCTTAAACGTAAATAGGCGTAGCATACCTTTACTCCTCCCGGCTTTAATGGGTTGGTAATATTTACTACGCTCCGCTGGTACCAGCCAGAGAGTACAAACTACAGTGCTGCGCCGGTAACGGTACCACTAAAGGTACATAGCTATAAGTTCCCTACGTCAAAAGGGTTAATTGTTTAACTTATTTTAAGGGTAGAAGCCTATAAGTTTAGGCAAAGAGTACATTGCATTAACCTAAACAACTAAAAGTTAAAGCAGAGCTAGCGCAGCGCAAGCGAGAAGTAGTATTACCTTATTAAACTTTAATAATTGGATATTTCTTTAGCAGTGCAGAGTTCTAAGTACAAGACTAAATCAGACTACAAATAAACAAAACCCAGTTATAACAGATACACAGCTTACTCTCGCGTACGCGAGACAGGCATTAGATAAATACTGACAACCTTACAAACAATGTAATTAAACAATGTAAATTGCAGCAGAAGCAGCATCTCTCACAACTTGGCCTGCCTGCGAGAGGTGATGATGCCAACTGGTTATAGACAACCCAAGCCATGCCAATTCAGGCAGAAGTCCAATGGCAGTCTTTTGAGGTCACCCACGTAGTTGCCGACAGTTAGTAAGTGGAACGAAAATGAATTACATAAGTACGAAGTTCCTGCCATGCATCGCGTGACTCAAAATGCCATTTCAGGGCATGTGGTTCAAAATGCGAAACAAACCATTTAATAGTGTTTAAAATGCCATTGCGAAGCATGTGATTCAGAATGCCATTTCGAGGCATGTGGTTCAAAATGCGAAACAAACCATTTAATAGTGTTTAACATGCCATTGCGAAGCATGTGATTCAGAATGCCATTTCGAGGCATGTGGTTCAAAATGCAAAACAAACCATTTAATAGTGTTTAAAATGCCATTTGCAATGCACTGCGCAGGGAACAACGATCCAATGTGGGCAGTCGTAAACGAGGCCGACGTGCGCGTATAACTGCGCGTTGAAGAGTATTTGAGGTCCGAGAGGTTTTACCACGCGACACCCAAGGACAGTCAATTTTTTCCATTTGCTCAAACCGTCAATCTTTGTTGTGACAAAAAGGTTCTCTCACTATGCGCTCGGTGGGAGAATCATTTCATTGGAGAACAAAGGAAACACCAGCCCACCAGGCATGTGGAGGCGAAGTTGGGAAGTTGGGATAGCCCACAGCACCTTGTACAGACGCGCAGAAGCATACACACTCTGGATCCCAACGAAAAAAAAAAAAAAAAAAAAAAAAAAAAAAAAAAAAAAAAAAAAACCGACAAACTGTGATGGTGCATCCAACTGCATCCAACTCTTACCTTCTTCGTCTTGATGGAGGTTGCATATATTGGCTAACTTTGTGACAGTAAACGGTGTTTGTACTCATTCTCAATTCCCTTGTAATGGACCTGTATTATTACGTTCAAATCGACACTGGGTGTGACGCGAGACCCGTTGGACCATTTCGACATTTCAACCCCGGCAAAAGATTTGCATGACACCAGCAAAAATTTCGATTTTCGACACAATTTCTTTGCCTTTTTTGCCTTCTCCAGGCAAATTTGAACCCCATGCAAATCGGTGCAGAACTGATTGAGTTGCAAACAATTCTTTGAAACTTACCAAAACAAGATAATTTCGTTCGCACCTTCGGTTCCGACAATGGCTGTAATGATAGAACGGAATTTATCAAAATGATATTTATTGGG